GGCACACACCAGTGACTCGGCGGCTGAGGCAGGAGCATCATGAGTTCAAAGCCAGCCTCAGCAAAAGCAACGTCACTCAGTGAGACCCTGTCTCTAAATAAAAATAGGAAAATAGGGTTAGGGATGTGGCTCAGTGCTTGGGTGCCCCTGAGTTCAATATCTGGTACCCCTCCTAAACAACAACAACAAAACAAACCTGATTCCTAAAACTTCTTTCTATAGAATACTTTCTGTGATTTTTTTTTTAAGTATTGGGATTGAACCAAGGGGCGCTTTACCACTGATCTTCATCCCCAGACCTTTTTATTTTGAGACAGGGTCTCACTAAATTGTTAGGGCCTTGTTAAGTTGCCTATGCTGTCCTCAAACTTGCAATTCTCTTACATTAGCCTCCCAAGTTGCTGGAATTACAGCATGAACCACTACTGTCATATTTCCTTGATTAGCCCACACCATCTTGGTTTTTTTTTTTTTTTTTCCATATATATATCTCATGTTATACATCATGTTTTAACAACTCAGTGAGACACTGTCTCTAAAAAAAATACAAAATAGAGCTGGGGATGTGGCTCAGTGGTCAAGTGGCTTGAGTTCAATCCTCAGTACCCCCCCCCCCCCAAAAAAAAAAAAAAAAGTGTAAGAAGGGGTATGATAAATCTCTTGCATTCTTACAAGAACAGTGGTGACCAAGAATGGAGAAATTCTGGTGTAATGCAGAGGAAGTAAGTAACATAATCTGGTTTGATTCTAGCTTGCAAAATAGGAGACTCAGAATGCAGTTTTCAATTTGGATTAAGATGTTTAAATCAGAGATTGGCAAACTTTTATAAGCCTGAAAGAGATACCTCGGTGCTACTTCAGGTCACCTACCTGGTTTGAGTGAACCCTTTCAAGACTTTTTTTTTGGAGGAGGGGGGACTAGGGATTTAACCCAGGGACGCTTGACCACCGAGCTAAGTCCCCAGCCCTTCCTTTTAATTTTTTTATTTTGAGACAGGGTCTCATGAAGTTTCTTAAGAGCCTTGCTAAATTGCTGAACCTGCGATCTCATGCTTTAGACTCCCAAGGAGCTGAGATTACAGGTGTGTACCACTATGCCCTGCTAGTTGTGACTCTTGAGGTTCTTGTGGTTACCATTTTACTAGGCCTTTTGCTCCAGGGTGATAAGCAGCTGAATTTTTCTGAGGCTTCCCTATTGGAATAATAACTGGACTGGCCTCTGGGCCAGCCAGTAGCTGTGTTGGAAGTTTCAGAGATTTGAAGGAATAGTCAAATGAGCCTAACCTATCAGATTTAGACTGTGCCTAGGGACAGAACAAAGCCAAATCAGAGAACTGACTTTCAAGATTGTGTATAACCATATCAACATTTGTTTCTCATAGGTGAGGAATAGGGAATACCCTAACCAGATTAGAAATGTGAATTTCCCATTAATTCTTTTTTTTTCTTTTTAAAATTTTAGGCATCATCTATTGACTTTTTTTAATACACCTTTATTTATTTATTTACTTATTTATTTTATATGTGATGCTGAGGATCAAGCCCAGTGCCTCACACATACTGGGCAAGCACACAAGCACTCTACCACTGAGCTATAATTGCAGCCCTTCTCATTAGTTTTTTTTTTTTTTTTTTTGGTACTGGGGATTGAACCCAGAGACACTCAACAACCATGGAGCCACATCCCCAGCCCTATTTTGTATTTTATTTAGAGACAGGGTCTCACTAAGTTGCTTAGGGTCTCACCTAGCTGCTGAGGCTGGCGTTTGTGGTCCTCCTGTTCAGCCTCCGAAGCTGCTGGGATTACAGGTGTGTACCACTGTGCCTGGTTTCCATTAACTCTTTGTTTTTGAAGGGGGTACCAGGGGTTGAACTCAGGGACACTTGACCACTGAGCCACATCCCTACCCCTATTTTGTATTTTATTAGAGACAGAGTCTCAGTTCTTAGTGCCTTGTTAAATTGCTGAGGCTGGCTTTGAACTCGTGATCCTCCTGCCTCCACCTCCGAAGCTGCTGGGATTACATGTGTGTACCACTGCACTTGGCCCATTAATTTTTTTTTTTTTTTTTTTTTAAAGAGAGAGAGAGTTTTTCAATATTTATTTTTTAGTTTTTGGCGGACACAACATCTTTATTTTATTTTTATGTGGTGCTGAGGATCGAACCCAGCGCTGTGCGCATGCCAGGTGAGCACACTACCGCTTGAGCCACATCCCCAGCCCCTGGCCCATTAATTCTTAATGCTACACCTCAGAAAGGGTACAGGTACAGGAAGAAGGATAAAGTAGGAAAATCTCCAGACAACTAAGTGTAGGGATGTGGTCAGATTTAAAAACAACTGTGACTAGCAGCTCTACAGAGTTATCTAAACCCTGACTTTATATGGGAACCTTTTAATTCTTAATACTTGGCTGATGGCTTTCTACCCTCTTTCTGTATCTGTGCACCAATTGAGGGAAGTTTTTTTGCTATTTTTTGGGGGGGATGTGGGATCTTCTGAAACCCAATTCATATAATTTTCAGTACTTGATTTCTTTAAGACATTATCATTAACATTGATTTAAAATGACAGTAATGAAGCACAATACAAACTCTAGGCCTGTTTTCTACATTGCCTCAGGAAAGAAAAGAAAAAAAGGTAATATTAATTTTCACAACTTGCTAAGGATAACTCATTGTTTTAAAACTCAAATTTTACAGAAATGTACAACCTAGATCTAAAATATACTCCCAGCAAGCTGGGCATGGTGGTGCATGCCTGTAATCCCAGCGGCTGAAGAGGCTGAGGCAGGAGGATTGCAAGTTTGAGAGACCAGCCTCAGCAACTTAGTGAGGCCCTAAGCAATTTAGTAAGACTTTGTCTCAAAATAAAATATAAAAAAAGGCTGGGGGGCTGTAATGTAGCTCATTTTGTAGAGTGCTTGCCTCATATGCACAAGGCCCTGAGCACCCAGCACCACACACACAAAAAAAAGGGCTGGGGATGTGGCTCAGTGGTTAAGTGGTTAAGCAATCCTGGGTTCAATCCCTGATACCAAAAAGAAAAAAAAAAAGGCTCCAGCATCTAGATTTTAAAAAATATTTACCTATATGACTTTTCCTTTTTAAATTTATTTTTATAAAAATGGGCCATTGTATGCATACTGTTTTGGCAACTTGCATTTTTCTTTCTTTAAGTGGTGGTGAGGATCGAACCCAGGGCCTCACATGTGCTAGGCGTGCACTCTACTGCTGAGCCACAATCCCAGCCCCCCCTTTTTAAAAAATATTTATATTTTAGTTGTAATTGGACACAATACCTTTATTGACACAATACCTTTATTTTATTATTTATTTTTATGTGGTGCTGAGGGTTGAACCCAGGGCCTCTCATGTGCTAGGCGAGCATTCTACTGCTCAGCCATAACTCCAGCCCCAACTTGCATTTTTCATTTGGGGAGGCAGGTAAGTATAATGGTTAAAAGGCTTGATTCTGAGGGGCTGGACTGTGGCTTAGTAGTGCACTTGGCTGGCATGTGTGAGGCACTGGGTTCAGTTCTCAGCACCACATGTAAATAAATTAAAAAAAAAAAGGTCTATCAACAACTAAAAAAATATATTTAAAAAAAAAAAAAAAAGGCTTCATTCTGAGCCAGTCCACCTGGTTTGAATCTGGCTTTACACCAGTTAGCTGTATGATTTTGGATAGGCTTTTTAACCTTTGCACCTGTGTTACTTATCTGTAAAATGTGAATAATGATAGTATTGACCTCATAGAGTTGTTATAAGGATTAGATGAGCTAATATTCCAAAAATGCTTAAAATAGTGCCAAACACTTAGTAATGTTCAATAATTGTTGTCTTCTTTGTTGTTTAATAGTATATATAAAACATGATCATTCCAAGTTTGATCTTCAGCACCACAAAAATAACAATAAAAAAATCATTGTAGAAGAAGTAAGAAAAACTAAAAGCAAAACTGAGAATGAAATTAAAAGTATTAACAATGTATACTTAAAAATGGCTTTTATAATAGATATCCTTTGAGATGTTTTCAAATATAGATGTGGCCAGGCATGGTGGTACATGCCTGCAGTCCCAGCAACTCAGGAGGCTGAGGCAAAAGGATCACAAGTTCAAGGCCAGCCTCAGCAATTTAGTGAGAACCTGTCTCAAAATAAAAAAGTGTTGGGGATGTAGTTTAGTGTTAAAATGCTCCTGGGTTCAATCCCTTGTTACCAACCCCTATTAAAAAAAAAAGAAAATATAAATGTGAATACACAGCATATAAATATATATACATTTTTTAAATTTTTATTTTTTATTTTCTAATTAGTTGTATATAACACTATAATGCATTTTGACATAATGTACACAAATGGAGCACAACTTCTCATTCCTCTGGCTATACATGGTGCCAATTTACTCCAGTAGTGTAATCGTACATGTATATAGGGTAATAATGTCTGTCTTATTCTATTGTCCTTCCCATCCCCACAGCCCCACCTCTCCATTCTTTCCCCTGTACACAAACCAAAGTTCCTTCATTCTTCCCTACCCACCGCTCACCCCACTATGGATCAGCATCTCCTTATCCGAGAAAACATTCAGCCTTTGGTTTTTTGGGATTGCCTTATTTCACTTAGCATGATATTCTCTAGTTCCATCCATTTACCTGCAAATGCCATAATTTCATTCTTCTTTAAAGCTGAGTAATATTCATTATGTATATGTACCACATTTTCTTTATTCATTCATCTGTTGAAAGGCATCTAGGTTGGTCCCACAGTTTAGCTACTGTGAATTGAGCAGCTGTAAACATTGATGTGGCTGTTGTCATTGTAGTATGCTGATTTTAAGTCCTTTGGGTATAAACCAAGGAGTGGGATAGCTGGGTCAAATTGTGGTTCCATTCCAAGTTTTCTGAGGTATCTCCATACTGCTTTCCATAGTGATTGCACCAATTTGCAGTCCCACCAGCAATGTATGAAGGTACCTTGTTCTCTACATCCTTGCCAATACTTATTGTTGCTTGTATTCTTGTTAATTGCCATTCTGACTGGAATGAGAATGAATATATTTTTGTTTTTAAACAAAAATAGAACTATGGCATATAAGATCTGTAAAAATTATATAAACAATAAATGTTAAGTAAATGTTACTGATGAGAAATAATTATGTCTTAAGTCGTATGAATGCTACATGATATTCAATTTTATGGATTTAAGAAATTCTCAATATTTATGATATTTCTGATATTTTGCTACTATACACAACACTTAAATAGACAACTAGATTCATTTCTTTTTGTACCCTTGGGTAATTACTTCCTTAGGATAAGTTTCTCTAGGTAGAATTGTTAGATAGAAGAGTGTATACTTTTTAGTATATTTACCAAGTTTATGTCATAATTCAATTGTATTCAACCTTTTCTTGCAAGAGTACATTTTTTCTAGGCCTTCCTATAGTATGTAATATCTTAACATGTGTGTATTTTATATGCCACACATGACATATATAGCACATGACACATGAAGTAAATATTTTCTATACATTCTTTCACAATTTAATATAATTATAGATATATTTGAATTGTGAATACTACACAAACAAATATTTCCAAGGGTACAGAGAAATAGAAAAATTAAAATTCCCCTCTTATCTCTATGCCTTAGTCCCCACTTCTCAGCAGCAAGCACTGTTAGCAATTTCCTGTGTATCCTCTAGAGAGTTCCAAACACATATAAGCATGTGCACACATATATATTGGTTTTTTTTTTTTTTTTTTTTGCACACATGGAGGCATACTTTACATGTGTTATTTTGCAGTGACCTCATAGCTGTGATATGTATCATCTGTAGGTTTTTACCTGGTGCATTAAAAGCACCAATTATTATTGTTACTGGTTTTGGTACTGGGGTACTTTACCACTGAGCTACATTTGCAGTCTTTTTTTTTTTTTTTTGGTACTGGGGATTGAACCCAGGGCATTTAAGCACTAAGCCACGTTCTTATCCCTTTTTTATTTTTTATTTTGAGACAGGGTCTTGCTGAGCTGCTTAGGGTCTTGATAAATTGCTGGTGCTGGCTTTGACCTCAAGATCCTCCTGCCTCAGCCTCCCAACTTGCTGGGATTACAGGTGTGCGCCACCTTGTCTGGTTAAAAGCGCAAATGATTTTATTTTTTTTTCTGATTAATTTTTTTGTTTGTGTGTTTTTGGCACTGTGGATTGAACTGAGGGCCTTTCGCAACTTGCATGCTAAGCAACCACTCTACCACTGAGCTACATCCCTAGCCCCTCTTCGACTTTTATGAGCCCCTTTTCTCCAGGATTTTCTTCTACTTTTTTTTTTTTCTTCAGTATCAGAGATTGAACTCAGGGGCACTCAAGCACTGAGCCACATCCCCAGCCACTGGGATTACAGGCACCCCCCCCCCAAATTTAAATATGTATATATAGAGCAAACTATAAAATAAATGTAAAATGTTAGTATTTGGAGATATGGATGAAGGGGATATGGAAATTCTTTGTACTGTTCTTAATACTTCTCTGTAAATCTGAAATCAAAATAAAGTTAAAACATTGACAATGGGGATATAGCTCAATGGTAGAGTACTTGCCTAGCAAGTGTGAGGCCTTGGGTTCAATCCCCAGCACCATACAAAATAGTTAAAATATATAAATTTAGCCTAGTACAGTGGCACACAACTATAATCCCAGCAACTTGGGAGGCTCAGATAGGAAGATTACAAGGTAGAGGCCAGCTTCAGCAATTTAATGAGACCCTGTCTTCCTATAAGGAAGAAAAAGGGCTGGGGATGTAGTTTAGTGGTAAAGAACTTCTGGGTTCAATCCCCAGTACCCATCCCAAATGGTGGGGGGTGGCGATTGTGCTTTAGGCAAGGTAGAATCCAGGACTTTACTGAATATTATGAAAATTATGAATATGATTTCTTACTTTATATCAACCTTTTTTATGTGTGTGTGTATGTGTGGTACTGAGCATTCAACCAAGGGCCTGCTAGATATGTTCTGTACCTTTGAGCTATATTACCAGTCCTTCATTCTTATAAGCAAGCTAATGGCAGAGATGGTCCCCAGCTACTCTGGGTGGTTCATCCTGTCAACTGTGACCCCAGGGGAAGGGCTTTCTTGATAGTACCAGGAAGGTTCTTGGCAACAGTCTCACCGTCTTGGTTTGGGCCACATGTCCATTGGAACCATGGTATGATTCCTAAAAGAAAATTTTAGTGTTATTTAAGAAAACAGGATACTAGGGGCTGGGGTTGTGGCTCAGTGGTGGAGCGCTCGCCTTGCACATGTTCAGCACCACATAAAAATAAATAAAAAAATAAAGATATTGTGTCCATGCATAACTAAAAAAAAAAAAAAAAAAAAACTGTCTCTTAAAAAAAACTTCACATCGTTACTGTGAAGCTCCCAGTTAAAGCAACATTTAAACAAACACTTAGCTGGGCATAGTAGGGCATGCCTGTAATTTGGAATTTGTAGTTTGAGGCAGGAGGATTACAAATTTGAGGCCAGTCTGGGTGACTTAGCCAAGACCCTGTCTCAGAATGAAAAGAGAAAGATCTGGGATATAGTTTAGCATTAAAGAACTCTGGATTCAATCCCTAGTACCAGACCGAAACAAATCAAAGCAAAACAAAAAACACCAAACACTTTATTGATTTGTTTTATGTAAGTAATTTGGCTTTAGTACTACATTGAATATAGAAAGGGACATGAATTCCTACTTTAAAGGAACTTTTAATCAAGTGTAGGTTGAGCATCCCTTATCCAAAATGCTTGGGACCCGAATTTCTGGATTTAATTGGATTTTGGAATGTTTTCATGTGTACAATGAAACATCTTGGGGATGGGACCAAGTCTAAACATTAAATTTGTTTTTATTTTATATACATACATCCCAAACCTAATATCTTTCTTTTCCGCCCCCTGTACTGGGGATTGAACCCAGGGGTGCTGGACCACTAAGCTACATCCCCAGCTCTTTTGATTTTGAGACAGGTTCTCCATAAGTTGCCCAACCTGTCCTTGAACTTGCAATCTTCCTAGCTCAGCTTCCTGATTTGCTGAGATTACAGGCATGTACCACCATGATTGGCATAGCTCATTATATATATCTTTAGTGTACCTGTGTTTTGATTGTGACCTATCACATGGGATCAGGTATGGAATTTTCCATTTGTAGTACTCAAAAAGTTTTGGATTTTGGAGCATTTAAGATTGCACGTTATGGCAGCTCAACAATTTAGGCTTAGGAAGGTTTTGTAGCTTTCCCTGTGCTATACAGCTAATTTGTAAGAGTAAGCATGTGAATCCAGTTCATTTTGACTTAACACAGTGCTGTACTTGTGCTCGTACTTAACCTTTCAAGGTCTCTATCCACTTTATCCCTCTTCCTTTTTTTTTCCCCCTGGTGCTGGAAATTGAACCCAGACCTCACTCATGCTAGGCAAGTACTCTATCACAGAGCTATACCCCAGTCCTTAAATTAAATTTCTTATGTCAGCTTTTATTTTTTTTCCCCTAAATTACTGGTACTTATTAGACTCTTAATAAATATTTGTTGGATAAATGAATTAATCTTGGCAATGAGTTCATTTTCACCACATTGTGGTAGACTTTCTGAACTGGCCTCTTTTTCCTCTGTTGTTTCTTCCAGGATCTGGGTTTCAGTGATGAGACATGGGGTATGATGTAACCCGTTTCCAGGGGGATGTTGACGAAGATCTTATCTGCCCTATTTGCAGTGGAGTCTTGGAGGAGCCAGTTCAGGTGAGTTGGTTGCATGGTGGGTTTAGTAGGGCAAGAGGTAGCAGTGGAACTAGTAGAAAATGTTCATGAGGAATGGAATCCATGGGGAAGTCACTATGTTTTACTTCCCCTCCCCAACCTTAATAGAGGTTTGGTACAGAGGAGCAGTGGTGGCTCCAAGAAGAATAGGGCCTTCCAGAGTCTATCCTGAGATGGATGCCATAGATCCCCTGCTTCAGATTTTCTTATAAGGTTGCTCTAAGATATTTCTGCTGTAAAACAGTCAGTAGCTTGTTTTTTCTTCTTTTTTACTTTTATGATTCTGAGGATCAAATTCAGGGCCTTTCATATGCTAGGCAAGTGCTCCACCATTGATCTACAATCCCCAGCCTTTACTTTATTTTAGGCAGGGTCTCCTTAAGTTGCTGAGGCTGGCCTTGAATTTAGGATCCGTCTACTTAAGCCTCTTGAGTAGTTGAGATCACTGAGGCAGTGTGTGCTTTTGTTACCCAACTGTTTGTTTCTTCTGGCAGTGGCTTCATAACTGCCTCTTGTCTGCAGGAACTGTGACTAGATTCATCTTCCTTTCCATGCTTGACCTTCTGGATTCCTGATAAGTTCTCTCTGAATTTTGATGATGTAGTGTTCCTGATAATCAGCTAGTCTCTCTGTAGACCTCTTTTATTAACACATAGGAAGTGGGAACTACATTTACTGATGGTTTCTTCCAGGGATCTATTAAGTAGATCAACTTTTGTACAGCCATGCATTCTGTAATTTGACATGAAAGCTGTTGGCATCAGTAGGTTATTTTTTTGCTAGCCTTGCCCAACCAGAGTCACTCATACCTTCTTAGGGCAAGTTTGAGAAGAAGCTTAGTATTACCAGTCAAATACAATGAGTAAGGTGATTCCTTAACTGTTGCATTCATGGGACATCATCCTACATGATCCTTATTACCCTCATTCTGTAAATACCAATTAATCCTCTGCTACTCCCAGCCAACTAGAGGTAATCCCATTTTCCAAACAAGGACACCAATCAGTGAGGTCTCATATTTACTGCTTATATAATTCCCAGGGACTCCCCCTTGAACCTTTGAGTTGATTATTTTTCTCCAGTTTCCAATCATCCAAAGAAGCACATATGGTTGAGCTGAATAAAATTCAGACTACATTCCAAAAGCAGCCCTCCATTGACTATCCCTTTTCTAGGTCTTTGCAGCCTACTGCTATTAGAGACATATTGAATAGGTGTGGAGTGAGCTATCCTTATGATGTCCAGAGATCATGGGGTGTGTCGGGTTCCCTTCCCTCTCTGACAGGGCCTTGTCTGTTTTCTGTTGGTGTCATTTGAAGCAAGACACTTATAAAGAGGTGAGTGCTAGTTAGAAACCATCTATCCACCTCTAAGATTTACCTTCTAAGGAGCAGGGGAGGCAAACTTTGTGATACTAGGCATATTTCCAAGGGTGAAGGCCCCTGCTAAGGATGTTAATGCCATGCCATAGTTTGTTTGTTTTTGTAGTACTGAAGATTGAAACCAGGTATACTTTCCTACTGAGCTATATCCTCCATCCTTTTAATTTTTTTTATTTTCAGCCAGGGTCTCTCAAAGTTGCCTAGGTTGGTCTGTAGCTGTGATCCTCCTGCATCAGCCTCCTGAGTCGCTAGAATTACAGGCGTATGCCACTGCATGCAGCTGTTTGGTTTTTTGGTTTTGTTTTGTTTTGTTGCTAGAACCCAGGGCCTTGTACATGCTAAGCATACTCCCACCACTGAGCTATACTCCCAGCTCTTTATTTTTTTTTAATGTTTTTTTAGGGGCTGGGGTTGTGGCTCATCAGTAGAGCACTCACCTAACCCACACAAAAGGCGCTGGGTTTGATCCTCAGCACCATATAATAATAAAATAAATTTTTTAAAAAAGGTATTGTATCCAACTACAACTAAAACAAAATATTTTTAATTGATTTTTCAAATAAATGATAGTGGAATACAACTCTATACAAAAGGTTGCTCAATTCTTGTTATACATAGAGAGCACAATTTTTCGTATCTCTGGTTGTATATAAAGTATGTTCACACCAGTTTGTGTCTTCATACATGTACTTTGGATAATGATGTCCATCACATTCTGCTGCAATCCACATCACTTGCTAACCAAAATAAAATATTTTAAAAAATGTTTTTTATTTGTGGATGGACACAATATCTTTGTTTTATTTATTTTTATGTGGTGCTGAGGGTTGAACCCAGTGCCTCACATGTATGAGGCAAGTGCTTTACCACTGAGCTACAACCCCAGCCCCCAGCTCTATTTATTTTTGGAATAGGTATTACATTTATATGGTTAAGAAATCAAAATAGTGGGTTGGGGATATAGCTCAGTTGATAAGAGTGCTTGCCTCGCAAGCACAAGGCCCTGGGTTCAATCCCTTCAATCCTGGGCACCACAAAAAAAAAAAAAAAAAAAAGAAAGAAAAAGAAATAAAAATAGTATGAAAAGATGGCTGGGCATGGTGGCACACACTTATAATTTCAGCAATTCTAGAGGCTGAGGCAGGAGGATTCCAAGTTTGAAACCAGCCTCAGCAACTTAGTGAGGCACTAAGTGACTTATCAAGACCCTATCTCAAAATAAAACAAAAGGGCTGGGGATATAGCTCAGTTGGTAGAGTGCTTGCCTCACATGCATAGGGCCCTGGGTTCAATCCCCAGCACCATACACACAAAAAAAGGGAAGGGGATGTGACTCAGTGGTTAATCACTCCTGAGTTTAATCCCTGGTACAAAAAAAAAAAGAGAATTCTCACTTCTGTCCTTGTCCCTGTCTACCTATTTTTATTAATTTATTTGGGGGCTGGGGATGTGGCTCAAGTGGTAGCGCGCTCGCCTGGCATGCGTGCGGCCCTGGTTCGATCCTCAGCACCACATACAAACAAAGATGTTGTGTCCGCCGAAAACTAAAAAAAAATAAATATTAAAATTCTCTCTCTCTCAAAAAAAAAAAAAAAAATTTATTTGGTATCCCTTCAGGGAGTAGATAGATATGTGGGGGGAGTATACAACTCTACAAAAGGTTGCTCATTCTGTACACTTCTGTAGCAATGGTGGGTTTGAATTAGGATAATCATTAAAGAGGTGATAGTTGCAATTCACAATAGCCAAATTATGGAATCAATCAAGATGCCCATCAGTAGATGAGTGAATCAAGAAATATATATATCAAGTATATATATACACAGTGGAGTTTTAGCCATAAAGAAGATGGAAATAATGGTATTTGCTGGTAAATGGAGAACATTATGCTAAGTGAAATAAGCTGGAGTCAGAAAATCAAGGTTTGAATATTTTCTGTCATATGTGGTAGATAAAGCAAAGTAAGAGAAAGAAGGCAGTGGGAGTTGGGGGATCAGATATCATAAATCTTTTATCAGAGGAGTTGAAGATGAATAAGAGGGAGCAAGGAAGGATGGAAAAAGGGAGGAAATATGGAATACCTCTAACAAAATCATGTTATGTGTATATATAAATGTATCAAAGGGAATTTCAGTGTAATGTATATGTAGAAAGTACCCATCAAAAATAAATAAATAAAGGAGCAAAAGGAAGACCAGTAGATTAGAGGAGGGGGGAGACGGGGAAAGGGAGGAGGAGAGGAAAACGGGGGAATGGGAATTGAAATCAAGTTCCTTGCATGTTTGATTTTATCAAAATGAACCCAACTACTATGTATAACTATGATGCTCTAAAAAAAAAAAAAAGAAAAGAAAAGAAAAAAAGAGGGGGCTGGGAATATAGCTCAGTTGGCTGAGTGCTTGCCTTGCACTCATAAGGCCCTGGGTTTAATCCCTAGCACCACAAAAAATAAGTAAGTAAATAAATAAATAAGAGTTGATAGTTGAACCAAGACCTCAATGATAAGGGGCTTTCATGTTATGATCTGCAGGAAGGCATTAATTTTAAGCACAGAGTAGCAGTAAAAGAAAGGTTCTAGGGGCTGGGGTTGTGGTTCAGCAGCAGAGCACTCACCTTGCACATGTGAGACCCTAGGTTTGATCCTCAGCACCACATAAAAATAAATAGATAAAATAAAGGTATTGTGTCCAATTACAACTGAAAAAAAAATAGATATTTTTTTTAAAAAAAAAGAAAGGTTCTAGCTGGATGTGATGAAACATGCCTGTAATCCCAGGGATTTAGGAGGCTGTGGCAAGAGGATCACAAGTTTGAGGCCAGCTTGAGCAATTTACCAAGACCCCACCAAAATAAAAAATAAAAATACGGGCTGGGGATGTAACTTAGTAGTAAAGGCCCCTGCGTTCAATCTCTAATGTGTCTGTGTCTGCCTGTCTCTCTTCCTTTCCCCCTCCCTTTCTCCTCCTTCCTTCCCCTGCTCTCCACTCTCACACATGTGCACATACACAAAGTTCTGGGGCAGAAATGAGCTGGTATGGTCAAGGAACAGAAAGAAAGCCAAAATGGCCTGAACATTGCTGGGAATATGGCATAAGGTGAGAGTCAGAGACACAGGCCCAGATTAGGCAGAGGTTATAGGTCCTAAGTAGGAGTTTAGATTTATTTTAAGTACAGTGGGAAACCGTGGAAAGAAATTTATTGTTGTTTTTGTGCTGAGGATCAAACCTGGAGGCTCATGTGTGCTAGGCAAGTGCTCTATTGTGGAGCCTCCAATGTAAATTTTTTGGGGGGAGGATACTTGACCACTGAGCCACATCCCTAGCCCTATTTTGTATTTTATTTAGAGATAGGTTCTTGCTGAGTTGCTTAGGGCCTTGCTGAGTTGCGAGGCTAGCTTTGAACTTGAGATCCTCCTGCCTCAGCCTCCCGTGCCACTGGATTACAGGCATGCACCACCGTGCCCAGTCCCATTGTAAATTTTTAAGCATGGGAATGATATGGTTTGGTTTGTTTTTTAATTTTTAATTTTGGTTACTGGGGATTGAACTCGGGGCACTTGACCACTGAGCCACATCCCCAGCCCCATTCTGTATTATATTTAAAGATAGGATCTCACTGAGTTGCTTACCTCTTCACTTTGCTGAGGGTGGCTTTGAACTCAAGATCCTACTGCCTCAGCCTCTGGAGGATTACAAGCATGTGCCACCACAGTTGGGGTTTTGCATTTTTAAATGCTTATTCTGGCTGTTAAATGCAGAATGGATTATAAAAGGAAGGGGGTAACCAGGTGCAGTGTTTACCTGTAAATATCAGTTACTGGGAGGGCTAAGGTGGGAGAGTTGCAAGTTCAAGGCTTGTTTGGGCAGCACAGTGAGACCTATCTCAAAATAAATTAATTAATTAAAAGTCTTTGGGGGAGGGCCAAGGTAGGAGTAGGAAATCCAGTTAGAAGATATTCAGTAATTTATAGAAAACTCTGGCCCTGTTTAGGAGTTTAAGTGTGTCTGTTGGGACTCATGGTGACTCCTAAGGTCAGCCTTCTTATTTTATAACAACTTGGATCTATGTAGAGCGGTTTCTTACTTCTCAACAGGAGTCCCAGGCATTTCTTGTTCTGCTCTCTTATACTGATCCTCTACCAGTAAATCTTTTCTCCCTCTTCTCCATATCTGTGATCTGAATCATCCTTCAAGATTCATATCAAATTTTGGCTTCTCCATAAATAATCTGCTATGATTGACCTAGTCTGGAAAGATCTCACCCTCCTCTGGTCTTTATTTATTTGCCAATTATTATATGTGCAGTCCAGTTGACAATAATTGTCTTATGTCATCTCCTATTGTCCTGGAATGTTATTTATATCTCTTATTGTTATGTAACTTTTTACTTGTTTGTCTTGTCTCACAACCTGTTTGGTTTTTTATTTTTATTTTTTGGAACCAGGGAATGAACCCAGCAGTGCTTAACCCTTGAGCCACATCCCAATCCCTTTTTTTTGTTTTATTTTGAGATAGGATCTCACTAAATTGCTGATGCTTTTGCCTTAGCCTCCCAAGTATCTGGGATCACAGGCGTGCACCACTACACCTAGTGAGTAGTTTTTTTTTTTTTTTTTTTTTTGTACGAAGGATTGATCTCAGGGGCACTCCACCACGGAGCCACATCCCCAGCCCTATTTTGTATTTTATTTAGAGACAGGGTCTCACTGAGTTGCTAAGCCCCTTGCTTTTGCCGAGGCTGGCTTTGAGCTCGCGATTACAGGCGTGCACCACTGCACCTGACTCCCATTTGTATTCTTGAGCACAGGAAATATATCTTAAGCCTGATCCCAAAATGCCTTGCCCATAGTAGATCTATAATTTGCTGTGACCCTAGGGACCTTTTTCAAAGGCTCAATTGTTTTTGTAGTTATATCTAGGTTCTTAGCTCCTACTAATTTCCTTGTGTCCCTCTTTCTCTGTTCTCTCTTCTCAGGCACCTCACTGTGAGCATGCTTTCTGCAACGCCTGCATCACCCAGTGGTTCTCTCAGCAGCAGACGTGTCCAGTGGACCGTAGCGTTGTGACAGTTGCCCACCTGCGCCCAGTACCTCGGATCATGCGGAACATGTTGTCAAAGCTGCAGATTGCCTGTGACAACGCTGTGTTTGGCTGTAGTGCTGTTGTCCGTCTTGACAACCTCATGTCTCACCTCAGTGACTGTGAGCACAACCCAAAGCGGCCTGTGACCTGTGAACAGGGCTGCGGGTGAGATTCCTTCCCTTCTGCCCCACACTGATAAGGGGTTCTCATTTCTGTTCCTGCATCTGGATGCCCTGCCCACTTGCTAAGGAGGTTTTCTGTGCATGTAGGCACAGACATACCTGACCCTCTTGGTTCTCTGCCCCAAATGTCACTTTCTTGCTGCTTTCTAAGTTTTTGTTTTAATAAGAGGACAGCAATTCAGCAATCTAGGTGATACCACTAAAAATTGATTTACTTTATTTTTCCCTTTCAGGCTCATAATGCTTTCTATTCGTCAGGCTGACTGCTCTAATTTCCAGGCTTCTCTCTCCTGCCCTATTTTTTCTTTTTTTGAGGTAGAAATATTTGATTAAATGCTGATAGCAGAGGCAGTGAATCTAGGATTTCTCAGAATAAATAAGTGCACAGGCAGAATCTATAGGAGAAAAAACCCATATGATTGATAAAACACTCTTGTCTTTTCTTGTCCTGGCTTTTACCTTTCTTGCTTCCCTGTACTCAGTTTTAACAGGGTGGTTTAGCAATATACCTAGAAATCCCCCTCTCAGTTTAGGAGGGCCATACTAAGTAGGAGTGGCTATTAAAGGCACAAGAAAATAATAAAAAAAGAAAAGGAAAAAAATCCCCATAGTACTATATCTTAAAGGATGAAAGAAATTCAGATAAAGTAGAGCAAAGGAGAAGGAAGAAGTCTGGGGGAAGAAAGTTAATGGAATAAACAAAGGAAGGCCTGAAATGAATGTTAGATATCTGGGGTAGGAGATATCCCACTCATCAATTTTCTGCCACTGACTAGGCCATTTGCCTACATGACCCATTGAAAGGGCCTGTTCTGCTCTTTCCCCACTTTGGACTGCAGCCTGGAGATGCCCAAAGATGAGCTGCCAAACCACAACTGCATTAAGCACCTGCGCTCCGTGGTACAACAGCAGCAGACACGTATTGCAGAGCTGGAGAAGACGTCAGCTGAACATAAACACCAGCTGGCGGAACAGGTAGGGCTCAGAGAACATGGGGTAGAACATTTGCCTCATATTCAAATAACTGCATGCCTGTGGGTGACAGACACCACTGTGAACACATGGATTTGTGGTTGTGCTTGTAAGCCCTGGTGAGTGGGTATTTGACTTCCCTTCATCCCTTCATGTCATTTATTCACCTAACATTTATCAAATGCCTTCTCTGTAAAGGCACTTTGCTAAGCATTGGGGAGACAGCTGGAAATGAGATAGTCCTATTCTTGTTTTCCTGAAGCTAACAGTCTCATGTTTCTCAGATCTTTCAGTTTCCTTGGTTCTCAGATCTTGTCTGCCTAAACTGTCATCCCTGGTTCTCCTTCCCTCCAACAGAAGCGAGACATCCAGCTGTTAAAGGCATACATGCGTGCAATCCGCAGTGTTAACCCCAACCTTCAGAACCTGGAGGAGACGATTGAATACAACGAGATCCTAGAGTGAGTGTCACTCAGGATATGGAGTCAGACTCCACGTCCTGGCACCAAAGCCTGAAAGGAGGAATAACAGGGGAGTGGCAGAGAAGGGCAGTAAGAAAACTGGGCCAGGGCCACTGCTTCTCAGATTTGGGTAAAGGACAAAGGCAGAGGAGAAGAGGATAACCCTCAATTCCAGGACAGGATCTCTTATTCATTTGGGTGGATGGACAGGGAATCCTGCCCAAGGATGCAGTTTTTCCAGAACTAGGTGAGTACCACCAAGAACAAAGCCCTGTTTTAAAAGCTGTGGAGTCATAAGAGGGCCAAAAAGAAATAGAAGATATTGTCCCTGTCTTCAGGTAGCTTACAACCCAGAGAAGAAGAGGGAGAGTACAAATCCAGGAAAGTGATCTAAAATGCCGCAAAAACAAGTGAAGTAACAAGTGAAGTCTAAGATCCCTTTCAGTTCTGGAGTGCTATACAGTTCATAGACTAAATGTAAGTGTGAATTGATATATATAGGGCAATAGTGCCTAGCGGGGACACAGTATAGAGGAATCAATAAACATTTGTTGAGCACCTACTGCGTGCTAGGCACTATAAGTGCTAAACATTTGGGATTTCAAAGAAAATTCAAGGATAGTGTAGACTCATGGAATTTAATTGGTGAGTAACTTGTGGTGACTTGGATGTGATCATCTAGGGAAAGATTTGGGGTTTCTGAGCCAGTACTGGAAGGAGAAGGAAGAATAGACGCTAGCTAACTGCAGAGTGGGTGGTCATTCCTCTTAAGAGAAAAAGCCAAAGTAGATAAAGGTGATGAGCTGAAATGACCACCTCCAACCCCTTCCACACAGGTGGGTGAACTCCCTGCAGCCGGCCAGAGTGACCCGCTGGGGAGGGATGATCTCAACCCCAGATGCTGTGCTCCAGGCTGTAATCAAGCGCTCCCTGGTGGAGAGTGGCTGCCCTGCCTCTATTGTCAACGAGCTGATTGAAAATGCCCACGAACGCAGCTGGCCCCAGGGTCTGGCCACATTAGAGACAAGACAGATGAACCGGCGCTACTATGAGAACTACGTGGCCAAGCGCATCCCTGGCAAGCAGGCTGTTGTTGTGATGGCCTGTGAAAATCAGCATATGGGTGATGACATGGTGCAGGAGCCAGGGCTTGTCATGATATTTGCTCATGGCGTGGAGGAGATATAGGAGAGTTCGACCAGCTATGAGGAAGAGATGGAAATCGGGAAAACCCCATCACTCCAGCAGCTGGGCCTTGAGTCGTCCTCCCCACTCTCCTTAATGCCTCGGCTTACACTTGAGCCACACATCTCCCTGCTGTTCTGGCACTGAAGGGCCCTGGAGCACTTTGCTCAGCCTTTCAGGGGAGAAACCCAGATTCCTGCCTTTTGCCATATTTCTTCCCCTAAAATGTCTGTTAATTCTCAGCATGGGTGGGAAAGTCCCCACCTATGTATTTTCCTGCCTAGGGTCCCTGGTTCCAGGTATTTTCAGAAAGCACAAAGAGATTTATTTTCCCTAGAGGATCAGGCTGGAATGAGGAATTGCTAATCATCCCTGTACTCTAAAACCAGGGAATCAGAGCAGGCTGGCCTGTTGATTCTAAGCAGCATTTATATGGCAGCTCTGAGGAACAGACATCTAAAAGAAAAGGTAAGGGTGGATCCAAAACCCTAGAAGTAAATAAGCCAGTAATTGGCCATGACTGATAGCCCTTAGGGGAAGACTGGACCTCTGTGCGAAGCACATCCCTGTTCAGCCCACCTTAAAGGTGCAGGCTCCTAGGTTGGAATGCTGGAAATTTCCAGATGAGCTCTGTTTTCCACTTTTTCATAATTAGGGAATGACAGGGTTTGGGGTAGGGGTTTGACTGTTGAGGTTCATATGCTCAGCAAGAAGCTGCTCTCTGGCTTTTGCTGAAGTCAGGTAGATACTGCCTCTTGTGTCATGCCCATAATAGTTCCATACACCCCTCTCTAGACCTGTGATTGTAGTTAGTTATTTTGATAAATTTCCTTTGGCTGTTGTTTATATTTCACAAATCACATCTGTCCCCCCCCCCTTTTTTTTTTAAAAAGAATGGCCTGGTTATGACTACCCCACTTGCTAGTCCAGCCACATTGTTGGCAATTTAATTTATTTACTTTTTTTTTTTTTTTAAGAAAGGAAAAAAGAAAAAATATCAACAAAACTTAAAACTTTTCTTTTGCTGTTCGTATTGTGGGGGTTCTGGATAGGGTGGGTCAGGGAGGGGTCTGTTTTATATTTTTCCTTTTCAGCACAACCTTTGGCTTTAACATAGGAGGAGCCAAGGGAGTCCTTGACTGAATTTATACCTGCTCTGACACTCCATAACCTATCTGAGATGAGGAGTTATTCCTCTACTCCCACGATGGATGTGACACACAACATCAATGCCTCTGCCCCTGAAGAAATTTGCTTCCAGCCCTTTAGGGTCTTATTGTAAAACTCTGGATTTAGAGCATTAATTTTGAAGGCATCCATCTGCTGGGTGCAATGAAGCACATCTGTAGTCTTAGCTACTTAAAAAACTAAGGAAGGAGGATATCAAGTTCATGGCCAGCCTCTGCAACTTAGCAAGACCCTGTCTCAAAATTAAAAAAATAAAAAATAAATAAATAAAATAAGGGTTGGGGATTTGGCTCAGTGATAGAATACCCTGGGTTCAGTCTCTAGTACCAAGAAAAAAATGGGGGGGGGGGGTGTGCATCTCCTCCTCAAGTTTGCCTGGAGCTGTATAGCTGGGTTCTAAGCCTCACCAGGCAAGGGATAAGAATTATCTCTTGTGTCTCCAAGAACAGGCTGTGCTTTGCCTCACCCATGTCCACCTAAGGATTTCAACTTCATTTTATGCTACCTGAGGCATTCCTTGATCCCTACGATTAGTGACCAACAGAATAAGTGAAGGGGAAGGTAGTAGGTGTGATTATTTTAATATGAAATATGTGGGAGTGGGGTTTGAGAAAAATCAAAGGGCTCCTCTCCACCATATAACAGCTTCTCTTTTTGGAATTTTATTCCAGGCCAACTTGCTATTGGTCTGGGTTAGTCAAGTCACGGCATCACTTCAATTGGGGTGGAGGGATACAGCTTGAGGGGAGTAGGGAACCAGCCATATTCTAGCTTTAGGACATGGTGCTCAGGAATTTGCAGACACTGCTATAATTATTAGTCTGGTTACATTTCCTCCACTTCCCTTTGCCCCTTCCTACCTTACCAAGGTTCATAGTCTCCTGTCCTTAACCCTCAGGTGGAGCTGGAAAGCTCAGTTGAGACTTCCCTACCTACCCTTTGCACTAGTGTCTCTGCAGGTTGCTGGTTGTGTTGTACATGCTCTTCCATTGTGTTGACTGCACTAATAATAAACCTTTCACTCAATCCTCTAAATTCTTAATTCACCATTACTCATTTTCTTGGTAAAGTTTCTCATCTGTTTGGCTTTTCTTCCACTCTTAATTATCCTTCTCCTTGCTTTGTAAACCTTACCTTTACCTTAGATCTGACCTTTGTTTTGGAAGCTATCTATCTAGGAATAGTGTGTACTCTACATCTGCTTCGCTCTGTGTGCTCTCCTGCATCCTCCCCCTCCTCTTATTCTGTATCAGCCAAAGCTCTCTCCAGTGATCTGAACTGTGTTCTTTCTAAGGTGTGCCTTTACCCTAAATTCCATGTCTTCTCTGTGTTGCTAGGCTTGGGGTTACTTTTTGTAGAAGGTGCACACCTTTTCCCCCTATCCCACAAGCACCTTTGCTTTGAAATCTGGAATTTCATTGCAGGCAGAGAGGCCTCCACTCCCTGATACCTCCTAACCAAGAAAATAAATGTGAGGAAGGGAACCTGAAGCAACTATACCTGCTGTGGTCATCAAACACTGATAAAGTCTTTTTCTAAGCACTTTCTGGCACCACCTTCTCCCCATCATGAGAAGGAACTCCCCACACAACTATATTTTAAGTTTTCTGAGCATTTGTCATGCAGCGAATGTAAGTCTAATAATATTCTAGAAACTGGTGAGTTGGAGGGAAAAGGCATTCCTGCACTGAGTCAATACTTTGATATACATAAGGTATGATTAGAACATAATGATGGGCACATCACAACATAGAGCTTAAGAGCAATGTTTGTAC